ACATTCTAGATAGTTTGTACCATTATAACATAAAGGACATACAATTTTTAAATGCTATTTGCATTTAATAGGCCATCAGCACTTTTCTAGGTCAATAAGTATTTTTCCTGCATACTTGTTAATTACTATAAAATGTTCTAATCTATGGATATATTATGTCCTATGATTTTGCTATTGTGAACAACACTGTGAAGATACTTATGAATGGTCTTTGCACTACTGTGTGTGTGTGTGTGTGTGTGTGTGCGCGCGCGCCCACATTTGACATAATTTTCTAAGATGAAATCCCTAGAAGTAGGCTTTTGAGTACAAATGTATAGGCTTTTGAAACTTGCTATCAAATTCCCTTCTAGAAATGCTGTGTGAATTATCATTCACTCACACCAGAAGTATACTAACGTTCCTGTTTCCTAACACCCTGGCCTTTGTTGAGATTCACACCTTAAGTATGTGATATTCCCCCATGTGAGATAAAAATAAAACCTATGGCTCTTTTTGAACTTGTGGCTTCATGAAATTGTTTTTTGCTTTTCTTTGGGTCTCAATCTTCTAACATTTTTGTCTTCCATTTCTTATACTTTTGTATTAAAACTGTAGTTTCTTCAAAGTAGAAGATCTAATACCCGCCTCCACGTTTACGGAGGAGGAGATAAGCCTCAAAGGTCAAGTGACTTGTCAGTGGCCAACCTGTTGAACCCATTGCAGTTTTCTTTTATCTATTTGATCCTATTTACTCTGAAAGGACACTCAATTTGCAAGATTTTAAAATAGAATTATTTTGTTTTTGTAATATATTAGCATCCAGTATCTAATTACAGAATTATAATATAGGCTTATATTTATTAAGTTTCTGTCTCTCCTGACATTATATAAACCTATTATCATTTTTTAAAAAGTCATCGAATATTTTTTATGTAGTAGACGAATGGTAGCACAGTCAAATTTCTAGACTCCTTCTCTGTGAAACACTCTCATGAAATGTTCCTTTGACTTCCCAGAACATAGTTTAATTTGAAAACACAAATTTTAGTTGCACACTTCATTTGTCTTGGGAAAAGATGAATAAAATGCAATTTCTGTTTTCATGTATTTTCATCCATGGCACATGCATCCTTTTCTGTGATATCCTTAGCACATGCCACACTATAATTTATTTAGAAGGCTTTTCACCTATTAGTTTGTGAATTTATTTTTATTTTCATTCGGAATCTAGGACAATGCCTGACATATGTAAGGTCTTTTTTGGGAAAATCACTTAACCTCTTTAATCCTCAGTTTCTCTATCTGTATTATGAAGTTAAGTATATGTCTCAAAGTGTTACTGTTTTAAATTCAAGTTGTATATTTAAAGAACTTGGTGATTGGCAGATAATAAATAAGCCATCAGTAAATGGCAAGTCTTATTCCTATTGGAAGTCTAAATATCTGCAAATCATACTATTATTACAAGTATCTGGCTCCGAGTGGTCTTGTATTCCCTTCTTTGTGCTTTGTAGTGGATTTTAAAGTTAATTCAACTTGTGATTGATAATTGTAAGTGGCAAAAGGACAGATTAAAATGTTTCTGGATTGATGAGATCTTAAAGCTTAGATGACCTTCTTATGTCCTCTCTTTCTTTTCCTTTTCTTCCTCTTTCCTTTTCCTAGGTCTCTGGTAGCACACTCACGTTGTTGTGTATTTGTAAGACAATTCACCAATAATGTTTTTGTTTTTTTTTCTCACTTTCTTCATCTCTCAGGAGAGAGGTAGTAGAAACCACCACTCTGTCTTATTGCTACAGTTTAATTTAAAGATGGGATCACTGTAGACTGATTCATTTGCCTCTCAGCGTAACCATTATTGCTTGTCTCATTTTCGGTTCTTATAAGTATATCTCTAGTATCACATGAGCTTACTCATCTAGAGGAAATAATGAACAACATAGACTGATGAAGAACAGCATCAATCAGACTGTCGGACCTCAGAGGGAAGGTAGGGGTGGGTGGAGATAAGGGAGAGAGATCAACCTAAGGACTTGTGTACATGCATATGAGCCTAACCAGTGGTTACGAACGACCGGGGGATGGGGGCATTCGTGAGGAGGGATTTGGGATGAGAATGCGGGGATGAGGACAAATATGTGATGCCTTAATCAATAAAGTAATTTTAAATAAATAAATACATAAAGATGGGAAAAGTCACCTTCCCTGCTGTCCCCTAAGACATATCAGGGATGAATGTGGTAGCAACTTGAAATCCTCTTTGGAAAGTTTAGATCCTTAGTGTAACAGTTTTAAACAAATTTTTAAAGCTGTCATTGCACTCTGTTTCTGTTTTTTCACTATGATCCTCCCTCTCAACCATTCCCCCCATCCTATCCCTATGGTGGGCATTTGGCTCAGCTGATCAAAGGAAGAGTATTTGTTGTACAAACTTCTGTGTATAGTAGTTAACCTATTATAATATTGCCCTTGTTAATTCCTGTTACTTCTTAATTAAGATTCTAGCAAATGCTTGTTTGAACATTAGGTTTATTACAAGTGAATTATGAGAAAGTCTGATTTATGCAAGTATTGTGTAAATATAACTTGCCCCTTTATAAATTATTGTTCCAAAGTGCTATGTTTAACTACAATTTTAGAAATTTGTACATTTAAAAAAATAATTTACTTTGTGAAGTCATTGGCTATTCAAAAGAATTATAATCTGCAGATACCCTAAATATTGGGATGAGGATTTTTTTTTATGATAATAGATATTAAAAGTGTCTATTTGGTGAATTTATTTTTATACTTTATACACAGACACATTTTTAAAGATTTCTATACAAAAGATAAAACATATTTCGTTCTTAAATCACTAGTTCTTTAATTTAAAAAAAATAAATTTTATTGATTTTTGTACAGAGAGGAAGGGAGAGAGAGAGTTAGAAACATCAATGAGAGAGTCATCGATCAGCTGCCTCTTGCACACCCCCTACTGGGGATATGGCCGCAACCAAGGTACATGCCCTTGACCGGAATCGAACCCAGGACCCTTCAGTCCCCAAGCCGATGCTCTATCCATTGAGCCAAACCGGTTCTGGCTAGTTCTTTAATTTTTTTTGCATTGAATATCGTGGTTCATGTCCCTTTTGTGTGTTGAATATTTAGAACTTTAATATAGAGAAGGAAAATATGCTTCTTAGTTGTCACTACTTCAACTGTAATGAAGCTGGGCAGATGTATATTTGCACTTCACTATCAATCAGTAGCCTTCTAATAGTATCAAAAGTTTTTCTTATTCTTTTCAAACAGCAACATTTTGGAAACCTTAATCAGAGCCTGATGTGCATTTCTTCTAAATGGTGTCTGATGTGGTGTCTCTCTTCGATTCTCTGTGGTTTCCTGTTTTTTTCATACATAGAGAAAAACCTTTTGATGTATTCAGACTCATTTTTTTTCTTTTAATGTTATAGCAAACCTAAACTTTCTTGTATCTGCAGCATGGTATTGTAAAACCTCGCTCCATTCATTTATTCATCTAGCCTCAGACTGCTCCTTCTATGGAATTCTTCCAGCTTTTCCTTAAGCATTTTGCCTCTATATTCCTTTGCATTACAAGCTTATTTATACCATGCAAATGTGCTCTACAAGAAGGGAGATGATATTTTGTATTTGCAGGGTTAGATTTCTCCACAGAAATATGCCTTGTCTTAGCAATTATTAGATACAACAGGCCAGTGACTTTGAGCATTTTGTCCCCAGACCAGCAGTGCCAGCATCTCTTGGGAACTTGTAAGAATGGGAAGTTCTTAGGCCCCACCCCAGGCATCCTGAATCAGAATATCTTGAGTTGAAGATTAGCAATTTCTGTATTACCAACCTCTTTAATAATGCTGATGCATACTCAAGTTTGACCACCACACAGTAGATACTTATTTAAATGAATATGAAAGTTGTACATTTATGGTGATGCTTTCTTGGGAGGATTGGTACAGGATGGAGCCAATTTAGTTTGTTCTGCCTGAATCTTATTTGGTAAAGAAAAGCCTAAAATTTAAATATATGCAATCTTGTAAGTGGGTATATATAACCTTTATGCTATCTTATTGTGAAAATTGCAGCTTTCAAATGTTAAAAATATAATTTCTTTTTTCCACCTATTTAGGAGTAGGCATTTAACATCCCTAAAGGGAAAAGTTAACTAAGGAATGATTAATGAGTATTACTTATTTTCATGGTGGGGAGGATGTGGGTGAATGTTGGAGACTGATCAGGTAGGGATAGGTTGGGAGACTTTTCCATGGCTACCATTCTATGCGGTTCTAAATTTTTCAACCAGGTCAATGCATTACCTAAAACAATATTTTTTATATTATAAATTATATAATTATAATTAAATATAAATAAATTAGTGTTTAATAAATAAAATTCTATGTGATAGACATTTTGTGTGGTTGGTTAAAAATATTAAGATTTCCTTTTGTGTACTATGAAAGGTTAGAAAACATGGGCTTTTTTTTTTCTATTGAAAACTTTGGATAATGGCTGAAATGTCTTAATAACTTTCCACCTGCTCTTTCTCAAGGTAGTAGATAAATGGTGCAATAAACCAAGGATTATATTATATGAATCCATTGTCTTATAATTATTTTAAGAAAATAAATAGAGGGGAAAATTTAACTTGACTCTAAGTTACATAATCGTATATACACAAAGAGTTCAGACATCCAGGACTTTCACCTAATACCTTCTTTCACATGAATTTATAGAAATATCTTAATAGCCAAGGACTATTTGAGAGAAAATTGATTAAAATGTTAGTCATATTCTTAGCAAATAAAACATAATCCAGCTAGCAAAACCCATTGCATGTATTCTGAATTATGGACAATATTCTCAACTATTTGTCTTTTATAATAGTACAAATGCTATTATATTAATATTATGATGGAATTGTGTTTTCAATGGAAGGTATATTTTAAATGATACTTGATTCAATGATACTTGATTCAATTATTTTTTTTTTCCTTGCACAGAACTATCGTGCCATGGAAAGTATTCAGACAGTGCCTTCATGAGGTCCATCAAATTAGCTCTGGCCTGGAAGCTATGGCTCTAAAATCAACAATTGATTTAACATGTAATGATTATATTTCAGTTTTTGAATTTGATATTTTTACCAGGCTATTTCAGGTAAGTTTCCTTTTGCTTAATCCTTGCCTCCTTAGTATGCATGTACAGTGCTTAGGTGCATTTGTGTGGACACATGTGTATGTCTCTCACAAACACATGCACATATACACAAGCATATTGGAAATAATCTCATTTTTGGTAGTCTATAATTTTAAAGCCAGTCATTGATGTTACATTTTGGCTTTTGATGTAAATGTTGACTACTAGGTGCTGTGAGCCTACCAGTTGCTTGTTAGCTTTGAGAAGATTCATGCAAAGGAGCTTTGTTTTGAATTCCTTATTGGGTTTCTCACTTTACTTTGTTAGTCTTTTAGGCTCAATAACTGATATAATGCAACTTTTATGGGTGGGCATCTACTGGGATTGTCTCCCAACTTCTCTCCTTTTCCTCCCACTTTCATCAGGTGAGAAGGTAAAGAGTAAACTTGGAAATAAATAGCAAATGTATCCTGTTCAGTGTAGGCAATTACTCTGTGCACTGTTTTACCACTGGCTTTGCTCATTCAGTCATAGGTTAAAAACATCTTTCCATCTGAAAAATATTTTCAGCTGTATAATTTTCAATGTTCAGTTGTCACATAATATTTCATCAATGTAATAGGTCATTTAACAAATATCTATTTTGGAGAATTAAGCCTTTTCCCCTCTTTTATTCCTAATATATATGATTTTGAGATTAACCGTCTTATCTTATTTATTATGGTGGTGTTTTTTTTAAAATTAGTTCTTTATATCATATGAGGAAAGCTGGACACTATCATTTTATTCTTTTGTATGTCATAGTGGAATTTTCCTGAATATGAATACCTAAAATTTGTGTTTTGAAATTGGCCCTACCATCTATATGATTCAATTAAGTAATCATAAAATGAAAGAGCCCACCTAAAATCTTTCTGATAAATTATATAGTCAGTGAGATAAATTGATCAGAAACCAGGCTGGCTTGCTTATAATCTGATGCAGTTTCTTATTATTTTAGTCTTAGTTGGATTTATTCTTTTTGAAACCTGCTTTCAACATATGTTAAGAGTACAATATTGGTTTTTGTGTTTGCCATATTATAAATATTTTGCTTCAGTGATTATGACTCTGCTTTGCACTAGCCTGCAAGGATCGAGTGACTGATTCATGGAAGAAAACAAGATAGGGTGGGATTAAGTTTTAATTTATGAAAGAACCTGTTAACAGAAGGCAAATTAACTCTTGTCAGCAATACTCATATAAAATATTTTACTTTATTACAACTTTAAAGTCATAATTCTGCCTAGGCATATAGGATACGAAATTAGGTAAATGACTACAGAAAGTGTGCTTTTGCTTATTTTCAATTTACTGCAATTTCCTGATTATTTCCTTGGTATATATGGGTTGTCAGCTTATATGATTTTAAGATAAATTTTGGAAAAAGGGTGTGTTTCCTGTTATTGATAATTTTATAATGGGACCTCTCCTTTCTTTTAAAAGTTTCTGATAATTTACCAAATATTTTAATTAGCATTCTAAAGACATTCTAAATAGCAGCAGGTTTGCCTCGCCCACTTGTGAAGGAAGAGAACAAAGGTTATTTTCATACATTAAACCTAACTAATCATTATGGGGAGAGTGTTTTTTTGGAGGGAAGGGAGTCTAGATGACTTCCTTAGTTTGGATATTAAACTCTAGACTAACTCAGAGTTATACAGTATATTAAAAGTATGAGGGCAACTTAAGGTTGGTTAAGCACTTAGCCAAATTGCTATTTAATATGTGCACATATCCTAATAATAAAGAGCTGGAATGCTAATTAGACTGAACAGCAGAATAACCATCCAGATGATCTTCCAAACAAGCTGGGGCTGCCAGAGCTGAGACAGCCAGGGCTGCGAGGGCTGAGCCTCTTGCACAAATTTTGTGCATTGGGCCTTTAGTTTTCTTATAAGCTGTTTTACTTTAAAACAGTCCAGGTTATCTTAATATATATATATATATATATATATATATATATATATATATATATATAAAATTTAGGCCATTGGAATGGGAGCAGAAAGGAATCTTTTTAAGCAGAGCAACTGTGACAAGTTTTAGATAAAACTGAACTCTTCCTTGTGGACCATACAATACCTTGTTCCTTTTAAGACACATAATTATAGAATTAGCTAAAGTACTTTCATTAGCCCCTATAGATTTTTGAGATATTTTGTTTCTTTTGGTTTTATTATTCAAGTAAGTAATCATACATGTAATTTAAAATAAGGGGGGGGGGGGGAAATTGGTTCTATGAATACCAAAGTGGATTGTTAACTTTTACTGAACTTTTCTATATAACTTTAAAAATTGAGTAATAATTTTAAGTTATAGTTGTATACTCTATATGAAAATGTAGTTTTGTGAATACTTGTTCTGCAGCTGTGCTGTGCTGGTTAATTGGCAGTGAATTCTTCTAGCTCTCAGTTGCTGGATGTGAGATATTTAGCAGAGTGGGATCTGAAAGTGGGCAAAGTACCCTTTCAAGATGGGAGTCGGACATTGAGAACTAGCATAAGGGTTTGAAGAAGGAGTCAGCAGAGGCTAGGAGATGAAGTTGAGAATGACTAGGAAATGAGAGAAGTAAGAAAGCTGGATGCTTTGTTACCCTTTCTTCCTCTCTCCCCTCATTCTGTTATTCTGCCAAAACTGGGACAAATGCTGGGAAGTCACGGAAAAGAACTTGCAATGACTACCTTCCATAGTTCTTCCTCTTTCGTCTGTCTTGAATCTTCTTCCTTCAGGCAGTTCAGAAATGGATTGGCAGGTACTAAAGTCCTGGGATGGAAATACAGGGTTTTGCTTCTCTCTTCCCCTTCCCTGGAGCTGCTGTTCCCCTTCTCCCTCAATTTCTGCCACTAATAGAGAAGACTGGTTGCTGAGAAATGGGGCAATACATTTGAGGGCAGTAGGGTGAGGAATGAGTGATTTGGGGGATATACTATGGAATATATAGCATCAATGGAATAGAGAGAAAAATAGGAGGAAAATCACTCATTATATCAAATAGTAAGAAAATATCAGGGCAGACCAGCTGAGGCCCTTCTTTCAGCAAAAGTTGTAACTTAGTAAATGGCTGTTTTTGCAAATAATAGAACTTTGGGATAATGAAGGGACTAGGTCTCCTGAATTCACTTCATTTATTTATTATTAGTCATTAAAAATTTCCAGATAATTTTGTTTTAATGTGTGTGAAAAGATGTCCTCTAATCTCTAAAAACAAAATTGCAAAAATAATTATTATTCTCAAAAGCACTTTGTCTTCCCTTTTTTAAACCATTAGTTGGCAAAATATGTAAAAACAAACAAACAAAAAAACCAATAACACATAACTACCACATGTTTCTGACTATGGGTTACATTCACAAGAAAAACAGTACACAGACTCTTTCTGTTACATAAGTATTTTTGCAGTAGAAGCTGACCCTCTGAATTAGTCCTAATAAGTGGTTGCTAAATACTGCAGCAGGTGGCTCAAAACTCAAACTTTGTTTTTTCTGTTTTATTTTGTTCTGTGCATTGGCTGTCTGTAAAGTTTAGCACTTTTTAAAAACAACTATTCTGTGAATTTGTGTGGATTTGAATGGAAGTGACCCAAATATTTTATATTCTTTCCATCCTTCTCCATTTCAGATAGGGAAGCAGAACATAAAAAAACAAAACTTCATGCCTATAATATCAGCTTTTTTCTCAGTTTAAAAAAAGCAAAAACATAATCTGCTTTTCTTCCACGCATTGTTTATGTTTGTAGTTTTCAGTCATGCCTTAAGAGGAAAATTAAAAATATCTTTTGTTCACATATTGCCTGATAGTGTTCTGTAGAGCTCTTATCTGCTCAGTTAGATATTTCAGCTTGATGGGGCTATGCGTTAAAGATTTTTCTTTTGTCAGAAAAGGTTAAAAAGTTCTTCATTACTAAATCATTCTTTCTATTATTCTCATCTCAATGGATATAATCATTAAAGAATTCTGCCTTGCAAATTTGAAACCCTTAACAGTTACAAGAAGCAAGTCTCAAAACAAACAAAAGCAGAAGTCCTCTACTAATAATAATTTCTAGATGACTATTTCTACAACTTTCATTTGGCAACATAAACCACCTTTTTCCCCCTTTCATGTAGAAGATGTGAGTTAATATCTGGCACAACAGATACAGTGTGCTGCCAATTGCTTGGGAAAAATGTAGCTTCGGCCTTAAAATGTGGCCGAGATGATTCAGTCACACCCTCAAGCGAAGTTGTCTGTCACTGATTGCCTTTCTCTTCTCTCTTGCCATGGCATTAACTAGTGAGGGGCAGCTAATCACCTTAAAGAGAGAATGATACAAACCTTGTGTTGGTGTTTGTGTGTGTATTTCTGGGAAAGATTTTTACATAACTCACTTTAAACCTTTTGTAATTTCATAATTGTGCGAGGATAAAACCAAATGTGAGTATAGGATGTGTTACCAAAGGAAGAACACTAGATTGGGAGTCAGGGCCTTGTAGACAAGTCATTGATTATCAGGGATAGTCCTTTCTCATCACTGTTTCTGGCATCAGTGCTGGCACTCTTTGGTGAGCAAGACAGGCACATTCTTTGCTTTGTGGCTTATGGTTGATGTATAAACTTTGCTAAATCATTTACATTCTGTGATATGTTGACTTGTTCTATAAAAGGAGACACTTAAAGGTACAGTAGAGAATAAAACAGACATACAGGGTGATGATAGGTAACAGTTTTAAATGTGGTGGTCTGAGAAGGCTCTATTGAGGAGAAAGCAATCTTTGTTATTTATAGAAAGAGAATTAAGATTGAGGAGTTAGCAGATGCAAAGGCTCTGCAGTGAGAGAGTGCAGTTGTGTTCAGGCCAACAGCACTGAGGCCAGATTGCATGGAGAAGAGGCAGAGAGTGGGAGGGTCACTGCAGGTGGGGAAGAGAGGGAACTGGGGATCCACCCTGTAAGGTTCTTCTAGGCCATTTATAAGGACGTTTGCTTTTCTCAGAGTTGGAGGGTTTTGGAGAGAAGAGAGATGTGGTTTAAGTTTTAAATTATCACAGTGCTTTATTGGGATTTTTATGTTTTTTCTTTTTCGTTCTCTGTTTTCTATACTTAGGAAATGTTTTCTGCCTAATTATCATATTCCAAAATAAGAGTAGATTTTTCTTTTTTTTAAATTTTTAAAAAATATATTTTATTGATGAGAGTAAATTTTTCATATTTACTGTTAGATAATAAAACTTGCCCTGAACCACATAAGCATATTCATCTTAAAATTTAAAAGAGCATTTTAGTTAGTGTATTAAATAACGGGCTGGTAATTGATAGCTGATATTATCTAGTTAATATGTTTTATTTATATTTTTAGCCTTGGGGTTCTATTTTGCGGAATTGGAATTTCTTAGCTGTAACACATCCGGGTTACATGGCATTTCTCACATATGATGAAGTTAAGGCAAGACTGCAGAAATACAGCACCAAACCTGGAAGGTAGGACTTTTCAGCAGTCATATTAAGGATTCTTAAGTGAATCCTTTAAAATGATATATTGTGCTTGTTCTGAAATGTATGTTCATAAAGTGAAACAAAATACTTTGTAATTTTATGAACTTAGACCATTTGTTAGGTTTCAGAGTTCTGGTTTTCAAATTGGAATAGAATATTAGCATATTGACTATTTTTAAGGTACCTGTGTTTATGTATAAATAATTGTATGTGTATATTTGAATGTAAGATTCATGTTCATTTCTTTGTTTGTTTTTTTAATCCTCACCTGAAGGTATTTTTCGATTGATTTTTAGAGAGAGGGGAAGAGAGAGGGAAAGACAGAGAGAAATATCGAGGTGAGAGAAACATTGATTCGTTGCCTCCTACACTCACCTGGAGTCTGCAACTGAGGTACGTGCCCTTGACTGGAATTGAATCTGGGACCCTTCTGTCCACAGACTGATATTCTATCCACTGAGCCAAACTGTCTGAGGCTCATGTTCATTTTTTATTTTTTAAGACATTTAATTTGGCTCTATGATAAACATAAGTACATAACACATATCCTATAAACATAAGTACATAACACATATCCTATCTAATAAAGAGGGGATATGCTCATTGACCATCACACCTTCAACAAAGATGGTGGCATCCACAGCCAAGAGGGAATATGCTAATTGACTGCCATACCCTCAAAGATGGCAGCGCACACAGCCGCAAGTTGGCAGTGCCCAGTCCTCGTAGCCCTGCCAGGGCAGCAACAATGCAGCATAGCCGGGCCCGCCCCTAGGTGGGTCCAGCCGCTCCACCTGCTTACCTCCAGAGTCCCCCAGCCCCCCAGCCTCCTAGGGCCAGCCTGAAGTACACGCAAGCCTTGGATGGTGGCTGCCCAGCTGATGCCCAAGCTGCAGGCAAGATGTGGATGGTGGCTGAAAAACCCCCCAGGGCTGGCCAAAGGCACAGGCAAGCCTTGGATGGTGGCTTCCCAGCCACCCCAGGGCCACCTGAAGCTCAGGAAAGGAGGGCTGGTTGAGACTTGCACTGCTGACAGTGGCAACAGCAGAGGTGTGATGAGGGCACCATCTTCCCCTAATCACCAGGTTGCCTCCCGCCCCTGAGGGCTCCCAAACTGTGAGAAGGGGAAGGCAGGACTGAGGGACCCTCCCTGCAGTGCATGAATTTTTATACACCAGGCCTCTAGTAAGTACATAAATATAAATAACCCATTGTTATAAACCAAGCCAATTTCATGTCCAATAGAACTTCTTCTGTTATATCTCATGGTTCTTTACAGCTGAGAATTGATTTTATTTTTCCAGATAATAATCTGTGTCAGCTGCATAGAGATTGACTTTTTGGTCAGCCCTTTTGACTTTTCCCAAGGAATCCAACCTTATTAATGACAAATCTAGCATCAGAAAATGCATCCTCCCTGGTTAATGCATTTCCCTACATCTGATCTAGGAGTACATTGGATGCATACTAGCCATAGAAAGTGGTGTGCTGGGGATGGCAGTAAGGACAGTGGAGACCCGTCCCCTCACACTCACATTTTAGTAAAGAGACACCATTTCAGTAGCCAGGAGTGTACACTTTTTATATAGGGACTAGTGTCCCAGTGCACAGATTCCTGCACATTGCAAGGAAATTAATTAGAAAGTGGCCAGTTATGTGAGACTGGGTGAGATGGGGCCTGACAAGCCCTGGAACCAACCTCCCGCTGTCCCTTTCCAGCTGGCCTCACCTGGAGTGGCGCCACGTCTTAAAGGGCATCTGCAGGTGAGTGAGGTCCCTCCTTCAGGTGGGGTTCCTTAGCCTGGCATGCAGGGATCAGGGAAAAACCAGCTCTCCAAAATCCCCTGAGGGATCTAGAATTGCAAGAGAGCAGCCTAAATCAGGCTCCCTCCTCTCTGGTTCTGTGGTGCATCACCCAAAAACTGCTACTGCCAAGTCACTACAGTTGGCAGTTCCTGTGTTGAGTGTCTGTCCTTTGATGGTCAGTGCAAGTCATAGCTACTGACATTTGTTTAGCCTTTTATATATACGCATATCATTTCATTTTAGGAAGGAATTTGGTTGGTGTTTTTTTAAAGTTTACTTTTTCTAATATTGTTTTTATTTTATTTGTAACATGAAGTATGTCTTTTTATTTTTTTATTATTTTTTAAAATATATATTTTATTGATTTTTTTTTTAACAGAGAGGAAGGGAGAGGGATAGAGAGCTAGAAACATGGATGAGAGAGAAACATCGAGCAGCTGCTTCCTGAACATCCCCTACTGGGATGTACCCACAACCAATGTATATGCCCTTGACCGGCATCGAACCTGGGACCTTTTAGTCTGCAGACCAACACTCTATCCACTGAGCCAAACCAGTTTCGGCATAAATTATGTCTTTTTAAAAAGTATTTTCAAGTACAAGCACTATTATTGATTCCTTTCTTCTTTGCTATAATGAAAATTTCCCTCTTTCTATATTTAACAATTTGTACGGTATATAAAAAAGAAGGTAGTGGGTGCAAATGACAGTTTATTTAGCTCAAGTTGAAGTCTTCTGTTAAGATTAAGGAGAAATGTTTCTCATTGTGACCATGATAGCAGGTCAGATATTTTGGACAGTGGCTTAGATGAGTCATTTTGTTTCATCCAAAGATCTCTCAAGCCAAGATTTTCCATAATTTTTACTGTCTGGATTGGTATTAAAGTATGGTTTTGTTTATGAAATATGATTTGAAAGATGAGATATGGTTGGGATTATGCAGTCTTACCAATTTAACACAGAAACTATTTGGGGAATTATCCTGCTCAATTCTATAAAAATAATAAGGAAACTGAGTCCATTTTATGTTCTCTGGTTCAAGATCTGGAGATAATTAATGGCAGTGTTGGAAACAAAAACCAGGTCTCATCACTATTGGAATAGTTCTCTGAATAAAATGTTAGTGCTGTCTGTCTGAAAAGATGTCTTCTTTTTTTCTCAACCTGCCCTGTAAAGATTTATTTTATTGTTAGTTAAAGATGAAATGTTTAGTCTGTGATAAACTGTAATATATAAAGTCTGATAGGGCATTGAAAATGTGTTTAGGAAAACTTTTAATGAACACATCAAATAATTTTGATAAATATTTGCTTTACAAAATATATCTATTTAAGTGGTCCTTTGTCTTGGAAAGTGTTTCATCTCTTTGGCTTCATGGTAAAGGGAATAGTTGGGCCTTTGCCAAGGACATTAGAGTTTCTCAGGTTGTGCTTTATTTGCGATCCAACTGGCAGTCATAATAAAGCTGTGTGGAATTTTTTGATCCAATTAAGGATGCCAGTAATTGATGGGTTTATATTTTGTTTTCAGGCTGTCTAGGATAATGTTTTCACATTTTCTTGGGAAGTTATTTTGTAAGGTTCTACAACCAAAGTGAAGTTCTTAATATTTATAGATCAGGTCTTTGAGCTCTTATTTAGAGATATATGGCTAAAATACATGAAATAAAAAGCATATTTCAATAATAATGCATATTATTAACAACCAAAAACTTTATAATTTTTTAATTGTAAAATAGTATATTGAATTCCACAGTAGAAACTGGCTCAGTTTCTGTCAGGGATGGACAAATTAGGTTTTTACCCATATATTTTATTTTTAATTTCCAGAATAATTTATCATAACTGTTTCTACCACCACCACTTTCTTTCCTTTTTTTTTTTTTTTAATATATTTTATTGATTTTTTTACAGAGAGGAAAGAAGAGAGATAGTTAGAAACATTGATGAGAGAGAAACATTGGTCAGCTGCCTCCTGTGCACCTCCTATTGGGGATGTGCCCACAACCTAGGTACATACCCTTGACCAGAATCGAACCTGGGACCTTTCAGTCTATAGACTGATGCTTGATGCTCTATCCACTGAGCCAAACCGGTTAGGGCTCCCTTTTTTTTTTTCTTCTTTTTTTTCTTAATCATTACCCAAGCATATGTTTTTTTCATTGATTCTAGAGAGAGAGGAAGAAAGAGTGGGGGGGGGTGCAAAAGAGAAACATTGATTGGTTGTCTCCCCTATACACCCTTACTGGGGATCAAACCCACAACCTGGGTATGTGCCCTGACTGGGAATTGAACCTGCAAACCTTCAGTACTCAGGGTGATGTTCTAACTACCAGCCAGGGCATTACCTAATGGTGATGGCAATAAATCACTTGATAATTTACAACTTCAATTATTTTCTCATATAACTTTGGAGATATTTAAATGAAATGATCATCGCTTCTGTTACAGATTAATACATAGAGACGTACAACAGTTTTAAAATAATTTAGAAGGAAAATTTATATTAGAAACTCTAAATGATTCTGTTTATTCTTTACCTTAAAAAACTTAACAAATTGTGTAGTACTTATATACATTTCAAATATGATTAAACATGATTTCCTCATATTTTACAGTTATATTTTCCGGTTAAGCTGCACTAGATTGGGACAGTGGGCCATCGGCTATGTGACAGGAGATGGCAATATCTTACAGACCATACCTCATAACAAGCCCTTATTTCAAGCCCTGATTGATGGCAGCAGGGAAGGATTGTGAGTATGAGAAATGGACATTAGGGCACATTCACAAATGTAAAAAATACAGGCCGCTCTGAAATGGAGAAAATGGATAGTGTGAGGCGGGTGACTTGGTTGCTTTTTTTATTTTTTATTTCAAGACTAAGAAATGGATACTCCTTTGTTTTTATTGTTTATCTTTTAAATATAGTTATTTGAAGATAACCTACTTATTTGAATTTCCCTATACTTAAAGCAAATAAATTCCAACGTGAAATGGCAATGAGATTTTATATCTATTACCAGAAAAGAAGTTGTTACTTAAAAGGTGTTTTAAAATAGATATAACACACACACTAACACACACATACACATATACAGGGGTGGGCAAAAGTAGGCTTACAATTGTGATGATGCAAAACAGTTTATCTTTGTATTATTACTTATTAATTCTTGTGTTATTTTGCATATGACCAACTGTAAACCTACTTTAGCCTATCCACAAAGTTTAGGCAACCTGTTAAGTCCCTTCATAGTATACATACCTGTCATTCATTTTAGTCCTATGCCACTTCCTTCTTTTGTTGTATTTCCAGTGTCACTTCATCACACTGATTGTTGAGCGCTTTGCTTTACTGAGTAACCAGGAGACCTATGTGATTCCACTTGCCATAGCATAGATTGTGATAGAAACCTAGCAGGAGGAAAAAAATGGTGATTGGATCAATATGAAAAAAAAAAAAGAATGCATTTTTAAAGTTGTGAGCTTTCTAGAAATACTTATATGAGAATTGTGTGGCAAACTATGGTACTATTTTTTTCCCCTCTTAATTATGATTAATTTGCTGTTCTCAGTTAGTTATACTTGACCTTTAGTGCAGCAGAGATTTACATGTGTAGCTTTGATGTACTATGATTGCAGAATTTTTACTTTTAGGAGAATAAGTTTGAATTTATCAATAGAGGTTGTGAGGGAGCAACTCTGATTTGTTATGGCTTATGTATATTGTTTACAATGCCTTCCATCTATTTTTCAAAATTCAAACAAAACCAAAACTTAATTTTTAAGTAGTAGTCTTGCCTCTGAATACCTACATAGAGTAATGATTAATAGTGACACAAACACACATGCATACACACATCTTCAGGGGTGTTTGATGAGTTGAATTTGTACTTTAGGGATGAATTACATTAAAAATAGATTAGATCAGAATTTTAAACTGATAAGTAGATCAGGTTTTAGATTAGGTTAAAATAGATATTACATTAATTACATAATTTTTTGTTTTAAGATCAGTAGAAACATGGGAGGCATATCATCTATCTTAGTCCAGCTATCACCAAAGTCAGCTGTTCTTATCTGATAGTTAATCTAATATCATACGACATAAGTGATAAATTTACTTTTATAACTAGCTAAGATTTTTTTTTCCTTCACAGTTTTTGTAGCACCCTCGTTCACTGGGGAGAATGGTCATGGAATTGTCATTTCTTTATACTTTAAATAGAGTGTTTTTTGTTTTGTTTTTTAAATATATATTTTATTGATTGTACACAGAGAGGAATTAAGAGGGATAGAGAGTTAGAAACGTTGATGAGAGAGAAACATCGACCAGCTGCCTCTTGCACACCCCCTACTGGGAATGTGCCGGGAACCAATGTATATTCCCTTGACTGGAATCTAACCTGGGACCTTTCAGTCCGCAGGCCGATGCTCTATCCACTGAGCCAAACTGGTTTCAGCTAAATAGAGAACCTCTTCTCTGTTTTATTGTCATATATGTAATCTTTCATTTCTGACTTCATAGAATTTCATGTTTTTGAAATGGGATGATCAAAATGTTATATAATAATTTTTAAAATTGGCCACTTTAGGGTATAAAAAGAAAGTTCCTTACTAGTTTTGCTTATCACTCTTTACTTAATAATTGTAGAATTTTATCCCTGCCTCAGAATAACACTATAACTTTGTATCATATTCAAATATAATCATCCACTTTTCCTAAGTCTTAAAGATTTATTTCATTGATTTGTTCCTTACCATTTGAGAATTGTCTGTTCTCCAAGTTAATTTTTTTTCTGGTTTTTCTAGGTAAATTTTAATACTAACTTATTCATAGAGTATTTAAGGATAAATATTTTTGTTACTTCACAGAACAGTTTTAGTATAGTTTTTCCTTTAAAATATTTACCACTGTAGTAGTATATTCTTAATTTTTCATTTTAAGCCATTTAGCACAGGGAGATATTGAACAAAATTAGTCATAGCAGTGAATTGACAAAATCCAACAGTAATACTGCCATGAAAAATTGGTATTTACAAATCCAATAACTTTAATTTTTAATGAATTTCTTAGTAAAAACTGTCTTACCACAGCAAGATGGCATTGTTACTATAATTTTGGAGCATTAGTTCTTCTTTCAGTTCTCTCTAATAATGGAAGGTTATATTCATAAAACTCTCTGTGTTCATAGTTTGATTTGAAGTAAATTAAACATGGACTTGCAACACTTTCTGATTTCTTTAAACATGTTGGGTGAGTAGAAGGTGAGATAGAAAGAGAGAGAAGAGGAAACTGGAGAAACAGGGACACCATATAAATGCTTTAATAACTTTTGGGGGAAATTATGAGCTTTAATTCCACTTTTCTTGTGTTAAATATAATTTAAAATGGTATACTAACATTAACTGTGCTTCAGATGAAAAATGTAATAATTGCAAAAATAAACATGTTCAAAGTATATTGGTATAGAATATGAGAGACCAGTAAAATAAAATTTTAAATTACCTAACAGACATATAGTAAAGGTATTTATTTGAAATGGTTGCTTAGCAGCTGAGTTAATATTTGTTATATATTTCTTATGTGAAAGTGATTTCTAGATTTTAAAAGTATTAAAAATAACTTAATATTATGGAAATAGAGATAGAATAGGTTCTTGATACAAGTTAAATAAAAAGGAAGTATTCAAATGTTTGTGTTTTAATATAGAATAATCTGATAAAATAACCTAGTTGCAATTAAAACATAAATTTATAATAATAAAATGTATCTTTAATTTCTAGCTACCTTTATCCTGATGGGAGGAGTTATAATCCTGATTTAACTGGATTATGTGAACCTACACCACATGATCATATAAAAGTTACACAGGTAAGGACAATTTGTGCAAATGTACTTATAATTAATAAGTATCTAGAATGCTTTGACATAAATAAAATTCTCTACTTACTCTAGAGTCAAAATCATGTACAGGCACTTAATGCAAAAGATATTTAAGGAATTCTAAGGGTGTTTGAAAGAAAAAAAACACATTACTTTTTCCATTTTTTTAATAAAAATTTTTGCTGTTAATGTTCTTGCTTCCAATATAATTTTGTTAGTTATTTGAGGAGATAGGTAGATAAATCCAAAGATAAATAGGTAAATATGACGGAGCCATAGGTTTAGGGAACTGCATAGTAGTTAGGATAATTTATAGGCATTGGCTTTTAAAGTCAAATGAATATGTGAAGCCTATTGAAGATAATAATTATATTTTTATAAATCAATTGTTGACAGCCTCATAGATTATGAGTGAAAGTGTAACTGGGTGGCATTCAGTAATTACCAAAATCTAAGTAAAAATACCTTTGACTCTAGAGTCCATATATAAACCACTTGCATATATACACAAAGCTCTATATCCCAGGTGTTTGCTTTAGCATTTTTCTTAAAAATGGAAACTTAGAAAATACTGAAATATTCTATTATAGTTTTAAAAATTATACCTGCCCTAACCAGTTTGGCTCAGTGGATAAAGCATTGGCCTGCGGACTCAAAGGTCCTGGGTTCGATTCCGGTCTAGGGCATGTATAATACCTTGGTTGCGGGCACATCCCCATTAGGGGGTGTGCAAAAGTCAGCTGATTGATGTTTCTCTCTCATCGATGTTTCTCACTCTCTTTCCCTCTCCCTTCCTTTCTGTAAAAAAATAATTAAAATATATTTAAAAAATAAATAAGTAAATAAAATAAAAAAAATTATACCCATACTGTAGTATACTGAAAAGTCATTAGCAGGAGGATGGTAGTTCTATATAATCACATGGTCACTTCTGCATTTTTTGTAAAAAAACTTCCATCTTGGGACACTCAATTTGTAAAATTACACTGTGTAAGTTTAATTTGTAAAATTAACATTTCAATTTGTAAAATTACACTGTGTAAGTTTAATTTCTGTGAATAAAGAAATGATCACCTATGAACACATTAAAATAATTTTAGAAAATAAAAATTAAGAAACACCAAACTGGTAACATTGTTTTTAACTGAGTGAGTAAAAATATTGGGGAGTCAAGGAGAGGATCATTTTATACATAAAAAAGCATCATTTTATATATAATCTAGTTTTAAAATATTTTATAACATATATATTTTTAAAAATATGTTTTTCTTGATGTTTTAGAGAGAGAGGAAGGGAGAGATAGAATCATCTATGAGAGAAAAACATCAATCAGTTGCTTCTTGCTACTGGGGATTGAGCCCACAACCCAGGCATGTGCTTTATGAGGAATTGAACCAGAGACCTCTTGGTGCATGTGAGGATGCTCAACCAATTGACCCACACTGGCCGGGCTTTGTGATGTGTATAATAAATAAAAATCTAATGAAAAACAAATTAATGGCATTGGGGAAGGCAGTAGTTTTTAAAATTTTATTTCTAATTCTTTAGATTTTAGTCCCAGTGGTCTTGATATTATTATACTTATTGACACATATGTACAATTTGTGGGCAGTTTTTCAAATTTAACATATGACTTCTATTATTTATATAATGACTCTATAGTATATAATATTTTAATAAAATTTTTATATTTCATAACATTTATTTTTATAAAACAATTATTTTAAAATACATATTCAAGAATAGTACCATTCCGTTAAACGAGTCATACATATTTGGCTAGAATACCCATTACATTGAATTAAATTCTGCATTTAGGTTTTTAAGTTATTGTAAAAAATTTTTTATAATTGTAAATTGATCCTTTGGATGTCATAACCTACATAAAAACGTATATATTATTTTAGGGACTTCAATGATTTATAACTTATTTTGGATTGCTTTAGATTTATTTTTTTTTCCATCTTGATCTATTCTCTCATGTCTTTTTCCTTAAATTAAAAAATATATATATTTATATAGTCACACATATATCCATTATGGTAGGCATGGTTTACATATTAATGTGTATAGGTGCATATTTGTATATGTATCTATGTCTATGTATATTGTTTTCCTCACCAAGATTGTAAAATCTTTTAGTAGGTTAGGGATTAAATATTGTCATTTATTTACCCTACCAGGACCAGGCACGTAGGCATTTTCTAGATTAGAACATTGCCTTATTTAAACAGATTTTATTTCTATAATTTATTTTTTTGAATCCCTATTAAATAACACCATTTTTTTGTATTTTCTTTACACTTATCAATATATTTTTATCTCCTTTGTGACAGATCTTTTCAATATTTGAACACTGAAAATTGTACTATGTCAAAAGTTTCTGAACCAGTAAATCAGTTTCAATAAAACAACTTTTGGTTGCTGAAGTGATTAAGATTGGGAGGAAAGTATGCAGTTTAGAAATATAATATAGAATTTAAGGAAAACTTAAACTTGTTGAACCTTAATTATTTTTTTAAATTCAATACATCTTATTATATTTTGGAGGTTACATGACATATAAATGTGGGCCACAGGACCTTACATGCAGGAAGGGCTTGGCAAATGCTACCTTCCTTCCATTCTGGAATTTCTATAGGTATATAAGAAATAAAATTTAATATTCAGCAAGAATCATGTTTATTCATAGATTTTGTTAATTTGACAATAAAATTAGATGAGCATGTGGCATTTACAAAAAAAAGTTAATTACATTGCTTTTTAAAACCTTGTTTGTCTTTTGTATCACTATTTTTTTAAAATATATTTTTATTGATTTCAAAGAGTAAGGGAGAGCGAGAGAGAGATAGAAACATTAATGATGAGGGAGAATCATTGATCGGCTGCCTTTTGAATGCATCCTACTGGGGATCAAGCCTGCAACCCGGCCATGTGTCACAGACTGGAATCAAACCCAGGACCCTTCAATCCACAGGCTGATACTCTACTCACTGAGCCAAAGCAGCTAGGGCACACTGTGACTTTTGAAGCAAGTCCCTTCCTAAAAGAATGGTACAAAACATTAAATAATCCCAAGTAGTAAAAGAACTTATGTCATTGACTTTTAATAAAAGCTCAAATCTTTAAAATATTTTTTTTTTGTAGACCAAATTTCCATTATCAATTTATAACATGTCTCAAATGGCAACAAAATCCTGATGGGAGCAAGAAATGGTATTTGAGAATATTTAATGTTAACAGTTTATACAAGAAATAACATTAATGTTATTTTTCACCCAAATTGCAGGAACAATATGAATTATATTGTGAAATGGGCTCCACTTTCCAGCTCTGCAAAATTTGTGCTGAGAATGACAAAGATGTCAAGATTGAGCCCTGTGGGCATTTGATGTGCACCTCTTGCCTTACAGCATGGCAGGTATAATCCAGGTTTAATTAGCAATGCGAATTCTCCCTTATATTCCTTAGCAATATCTGTCTTTTCAATTTTCTTCATCTTAATGATTCAGGAAATAATACTGAGAAGTGCTTTGTTTGAAGAATTGTTAAAAAAAAAAAACAACCACATATCTTTCTTGTATATAATATGCTATTTTTGTTTTTATATTTCTTCTTTTGCATGTGTCAGTTTATATTAGTTTTAAGTAGTTCTTTAACACTATTGATTTCAGAAAGTCCCTTATCCATATTACCAATTAACTACATTTACATAATTTACTTAGATCATAATCTAGTTATAGTACATCAGATCCAAGGAAAAGTAAACTTCAGTAGATAAATCATAGGTTGATATTTAAACCATCCCTCTTCTCCTGTGGCACTGTAGCTCCTGTCTCTATGGTTGCTCCGTAATGCTAAAATAGGAAAATCAGACAGAAGATGCTTCTGAAATACTTATAGTTCCCACAGAAACAGACATTAAATTTTTCAGTTTACAGAAACAGAATCTATGATAAATTGCAGAATCTAAGATAAATTAGATGTTGAATAAATACAAATTGATTTGATGTTTTTGAATGAGACCTAGAGAATAATTTGTTTCCCCAAGGGTTTTCTTACCCTTTTTTAATCTATAATAAAAGGTGATATCTTAAAATGGCTCTTTGGACAGATTTTCAATTTTGCATATGCTCCAAATACCAGAATATATTACATATCTTCCATTACCCAGAATATTTTGATCAAGCCATTTTTAAACTGTTGTTTAATTCAGCCAATGTTGAAATGAATATTGTTGATGGTGTTTAGTTAGAAAGGAAATAATTACCTTTCAAACCTGTTTTAAAGACCTTCAGGTGAGTATGTATTTGATATCCCTACCATGTTCCTAAGCCCCCTCTGTCCTGTTCTTCTCTCCGCCCCAGAAGCTCCATCCTCCTGAAGAAGGATGTCTTAAGTTCAGGAAAGGGTGCAGACTAGAGGAGCCGTGATGCCTTCTGAACTCATTACTTGATAATCTATACTTATAAAAGGGTAATATGCTAATTAGACTAGATTGACTAGATGTCTTCTGGACATCCAAAGTCTTTCCAGACAAAGCCATGGTGGCGGGGACCAAGGCAGAGGCAGTTAGGCATGCAGAGATCGGGCCTAAACTGACAGTTGGATATCCCCCAAGGAGTCCTGGATTGGAGAAGGTGCAGGCTGGGCTGAGGAATCCTCCTCCACCCCCATGCATGAATTTCGTGCATTAGGCCACTAGTAAGATATATTGACTTTCACTTGTTCACAGTCTATTAATAAGGGCCTCCTTCTTCCTGTGATGATACTTAAAAATGAATGAAGAAAAAGAGGAAGACCTAGAAATGAATTACAATCCAATTACATTTTCAAAGCCATTGCTGAACTCCTGATGTCTTTGTGACCTCAGTAAAAATTGTTGAACATTCCTGTACTTCTCTCTTTCAATATGCATTGAGATTCTATTTTACTTTAGTTTTCCTTGATATCCTTGCCATGATTTCCCTTTATTCCTTTATGATGTTGGTGAATTGTACACAGTGTAGGAGAAGTTGCATGAAGGGGGATGCTCATTATGGTGTCAGGAAGCTCATTCTCAGCTTCTGGGCACATGTTTAAGTTATGTTAACAAAAATAGTTTGTAGACTTAAACATTTCTTTTTATAAATAACTTAACAATAAATGTACTTAAGCTTGTAGAAGGCAAAACTGTTTGCAAGTGTGTTTCAAATGTATCAGTAGAAAATACTAGACATGTTTTTGATGTGCCACATTGATTGGGATGGGACTACTTATGGTGCTTTGCTTTATTTGGTACCCACCCAGCATTTTAGAGCAAGGATTAAACTGACAGAGGCAATTATGTGTCACCCTTTGAATTGACTTAGCCTTGAGTGTGGTAGGATGGTTCTCACGGGTACAAAGAAACTAAACATTTGCATTCCTTTCTAAAGAAAACCAAAATTTTAGGCTGAAATAAACTCAAAGTACTCTGCCACCTTGAATAGCCTGTGCTTTTCAGCTTCTTCTTGGAGTCATGGTTTTAGAGCATAGACACATAGGCATATTGCAGGACCTGACTGCTTTAAGCTGATACTTATCTCATACTTGGAAGTTAAGTGGGTTAAAAGTCAGAAGCTCCCATGAGTTTGGCAGACACCTTTGATTATTGTTGAAAGCATTGTACAAAATAGCTCTGTACCTATGGCCTAAGGCAAATAAAAGAAGATGGCTGGCTGCCAGGACCGGTTTGGCTCAGTGGATAGAGTGTCGGCCTGCGGACTGCAAGGTCCCGGGTTCGATTCTGGTCAAGGGCACGTACCTTGGTTGCGGGCACATTCCCAGTAGGGGGTGTGCAAGAGGCAGCTGGTCGATGTTTCTCTCTCATCAACGTTTCTAACTCTCTATCCCTCTCAATTCCTCTCTGTGTAAAATCAATAAAATATATTAAAAAAAAAGATGGCTGGATATAAAACAAAAAATATTTCATTTTACTTTCCATATTCTTTAAAGAAATATAACTTTTAAAATGTTAGGACCAATACTATATATTTTACATAGTAAGTTTGTGAACTCTTTGCAATAGGTAGTTATGTGCAAAAGACATGGGGCTAGTTCCCAGTTGTCATTGGTGTTTTTTTGCACTTTGCAGCACCACACCTTTTCTGTGTATTACTGTGCCTTCCAGATGGTGCAGTTCCTCTTGCTAGTAGCAGATCAATTCCTTGGTTCACTTCACAGTTTTTCATACTGGCCTAATTACCTTATATGAGGATATGTCCAGTCATATTCATAAATTATTATCATTTTATATTTCTCTGTTTTATTTTGAAATAATTCTCAGTTTTACTTTTAGAAATTGAGGAAGTGCATCAATTGCCAATCACTGAAAACAGTCTAGAGTAAAATTTTAGGAGAAGCTATATAAGACTGTAGTACTAACACAGTAGTTTACTAAGTAAGTAGTAACAAAAGATGACACATTCAAAAGCACTCAGGTTGAAATAATAATAAAAATAAATCACACTCATGGCAATAGATGTTAAAGTTATTAACATCTTAAACCGATCATAGAATTTAGCATGTAAATTAATGAAAAGTATGCTAAGGAATTCTTTCAGCATTATTTTTTAATTATTCCCACATAAGACAGTTCGTGATTAATATACATTTCTCTGACTTATGTCCTGTGAGCTCTTACTTCATTGTATTTGTATTGTAAACATTTACGTATTTACATGTTTCTCTTCTAGAGCATGGATTGCTTTACCTATTTTTGAATCCTTCTCACTGCAGGAGCATGCTACCCACCTACACAGTGGTAGTTAGTAAATATTTGTGACTATATCCTATAGGTTTTATAAAGGAAAGAGAAGAAGGGGACTCTATTACATTTAATAAAAAAGATATTGATACTGGAGATCACTTGGGAAAAGTCTTGTAATGCTTTAGTTCTGTTCATTTCTCTTCTTAGAAGTAGATGTGATTTTTTCAAATAATTTTTATTATGCTTAAGCTGAGAATGAATCCTAAGAATTTTAAACTTCAAATCCTATCCATTCTGTTCAGTAGCTGTGTGATTCCCTTCAACTTTTCACATTTTTACTTCTTCCACTTATTTTTGAGCAATGTTATTTTACTTCTTTTGCTTGCAATAATACACTAACATAGAGGCAGTAAAGACCAAGTTTCTACTTTATTGCATTTTACACCAGAAAACATGCATTGTGACCCCTTGTTCCAAATTTTCTCCACCTTGAAGAAAATTGTTCTTAGGCCAAGGTTTGAGAATTCCAAAGTGGTATTCCATACATAATCTTAGTGGTTAAAGGAAACTTCAGCTACTGAACATTGCTACTTTGGGTAAACTGAATATTTCTACATTTACATATAGATTTCACACCATGGTGCTTCCTGCTAAAAAAAACCACACAGATCTGTGTTTGCACCTTTCATATTGTTATATGAACAGCAGTGTTTGATAATCAATAGACATGTGATTGCAAAATGCCTCTTTATTGAGGAGAAATAAAAGTCTTATAATGTCAATGAAGTTAACAAACATTAGCTATTCTAAAATCCTCACATTGTAGCCTCAGTGAGCTGCTCACTGAACTTACCTAATTGATGGTTAATATGAGAACAAAATGATTGAACATTTCCATAGTTTTACACTATATTGTCAAAAATTGTATCTAGCCCTAACCGGTTAGGCTCAGTGGATAGAGCACTGGCCTGCCAACTGAAGGGTCTCAGGTTTGATTTTGGCCAAGGTTGTAGGCATATCCCCAGTAAGGAGTGTGCAGGAGGCAGCTGATAGATGTTTCTCTCTCATCTATGTTTCTCTGTCATTGATGTTTTTAACTCTCTATCCCTCTCCCCTCCTCTCTGTAAAAAAATCAATAAAATATATTTTAAAAAATGTATCTAAACTTATAGATATAATTGAAAATGATATTAAATTTCTGGATATGAGTGCTTATAGTTAAAATAATATGACTCTCTTGCAACTTTCTGCTTATTTGAAATGGTACAGGCTAGAATCCATATTTTCTGACTTGAAAACCAGTGTTTTTGTTTTATATTTTTATTCATTTTTTTCTGTGGAAAAAGAGAAGTTTTTATACTTAATTAAGCACAGGAATAATTTGTTATTTTTTTTCTCTTTACTGGACTGGTAGAAGCAGCAGTAGATTTTTTCATCCATTATTCTGCAAGATCCCAAATCCATTGATTTATTCACTCATTTATTTATTTAGGAAACATCCCTTAAGCAGCTTCTGTTTCTCATGTTCTGGGCTAATCTCTGAACTAAAAAAGCAAAAACACTAAGAAACAGCCCCTACCCTCAAGAAGTTAAAATGAAATCTATATGTTTTATAAAGATAATTAAATGCTATTAATAATTACTTGAAATGAACATCCTGTTATCCTTCAAATTTAATTATGGATCTGAGA